CTGAAAGAAATTAAAGAGGACACAAAAAGAAGGAAAGACATTCCATGTTCATGGACTGGAAGAATTAATGTTTTAAAAATGTCCATACTACCAAAAGCAATCTACAGATTAATGTGATCCCCATGAAAATACCAATGACATTCTTCACAAAAAAAGAAAAAACAATCCTAATATTCATATGGAACAACAAAATACTCCAAAATAGCCAGTGACCCTGAGCAAAAAGAAATAAAGCCAGAGACATCACACTACCTGACTTCAAATTATACTACAAAGCTACAGTAACCAAAACAGCATGGTACTGGCACAAAAACAGACACATGGACCAATGCAACAGAACAGAGAACCCAGAAATCAATCCACACACTTACAGCCAACTCTGACATTCAATAAAGGCACCAAGAACATACACAGAACAAAGGTCAGCCCCTTTGCTGAATGGTGCTGGGGAAACTGGATATCCATGTGCAGGAGAATGAAACTAGATCCATACCTCTCACCATATACCAAAATCAACTCAAAATGGATAAAAGACTTACATATAAAACCTGAAACGACAAAAGTCCTAAAAGAAAACACAGGGGAAACATTTCAGGATGTAGGACTTGGCAAGACTCTATGAATAAGACCCCAAAGTACAGGCAATAAAAGAAAAAATAAACAAATGGCATTACATCAAACTAAATAGCCTCTGCACAGCTAAAGAAAGTTAACAGAGTGAAAAGACAACCTACAGAGTGGGAGAAAATATTTGCAAACTATGCATCCAACAAGGGATAAATATCCAGAATACACTGGGACTCAAACAATTTTACAGTAAAAAAACAAATAATCCATTTAAAAAATGGGCAAAGGAGGTGAACAGACATTTCTCAAAGGAAGACACACAAATAGCCAACAGGCATATGAAAAAATGCTCAGCATCATTAATCATCAGGGAAATGCAAATCAAAACCACAATGAGATATCATCTCACCCCAGTTAGACTGGTGTTTTAGTGCGTTTTGCGTTACTATAACAGAAATACCTGAGACCAGGGCCAGCCCGGTGGCGCACTGCTACAGTGCGCCGCTTGGGAAGTGCAGTGGCGCTCCCGCCGAGGGTTCGGATCCCACATACAGACCGGCCGCTCACTGGCTGAGCGAGGTGCGGGCGCAACACCGAGGGTTGCGATCCCATTGCCGGTCCCGGTCCGGTACGGGCGCGACACTGAGGGTTGCGATCCATTGCCGGTCACGAAAAAAGACAAAAAGGGGGAAAAAAAAAAAAGAAAAGAAATACCTGAGACTGGGTAATTTATAAAGGAAAGAGGTTTATTTGGCTTATGATTCTGGGATAGTGGCATCTGGCGTGGGCCTCAGGCTGCTTCAACCCATGGTGGAAAGTGGCAGGCAGCCAGCAGGTACAAGCAGATCACATGGCGAGAGGAAGCAACAGAGAGAGAGAAGGTGCCAGGGTCTTTTTAAGCAATGAACTCTCACGGGAACTAATAGAGGAAGAACTCACTCATTAATCCCCTCTCCCCCATGGAGAGCATTAATCCATTCATGAGGGATCCGCCCCCATGACTCAATCAGTTTCCAACACTGACACATTGGAGATCAAATTTCCACATGAGTTTTGGAGGGGACAACACATCCAAATGCCATCAACTGGCTACTATCAAAATGACAGAGAATGACAAATGCTGGCAAGGATGAGGAGAAAGGGGAACTCTTCTATACTGTTGGTGGGACTGTAAATGAGTACAGCCATTATGGAAAACAGTATGGTGATTTCTGAAATAACCACAGTTACAACTACCCTATTATCCCACAATCCCACTACTGGGTATACACCCAGTATAGGAATGGAAATCATCATGGCAAAGGGATACTTGCACTCACATGTTTATGACAGCCCTACTTACAACAGCCAAGATATGGAACCAACCTAAATGTCCATCAACAGACAACTGGATAAGGAAAAGGTGGTATATATACACAGTGGAATACTACTCAGCCATAAAAAAGAATGAATTTCTGCCATTTACAGCATCTTGGAGGGGGTTGGAGAAAATAATGTTAAGTGAAATGAACCAGGCACTGAAAAAGAAATACTGCATGTCCTCACTCATAAGTGGGAGCTAAAAAATAAATAAATAAGAAAGAAAAGAAAAGAACCAATAATCACAATAGGTCGAACTTTCAGAAGAGAACAGAACTGTTGTTACTAGAGGTGAGAAAGGGGGAGGGAAAGGGAATTAAAGAGAAATTAGTTAAAGGACACAAAGAATGCTTACATTCTATAATAATGAATACACTAATTATCCTGATTTGATCATATATTGTACATTAGTACTATATTCAACTCAGTACCCCACAAATATGTATAATAGATTGTGTTTAAATAAAATAAGAAAATAAGTATTTAAATTTTAGTCTTTTATTTCTTGTCCAGTTAATATACTCATATAGTTCCAACTTCAAATATACACAAAAGAATATAAAGTGAAAAGGCTAACCCCAACTCTGCCCCCAGCCACCCAGTTCTTTCCAGAAGCTGTTAATCTTATTTGTCCAGGGGTATTTATGCACTTAAGCAAATTATGCACATATGCATCCCACCTTTTTAAGACAACTGGTCGCATACTAGTCACAATTCTCTCCCTCACTTTGTTCATTTAAAAAATGTACCTTGAAATCTACTTACTTACTCTAACCTCCTTCCTTCAAAAACCTACACAATATCCCAGTGAAGCTATCCCAGACCACCAAGGTTAATAGTGGTCTCCCCCTCCTATAAATCAATTCTTTGTCATTACTGAATTAACTCTTTTCATACAACACCTTGCAATGCCAACACGAGCTGGCAACTTGTAGAAAGCAATCATATAACAGTGACTTATATGCAATAAACACCTAGTAAACAACCTCAAGAAAGGAATTATCATTGAAAAACAAACAAAACTAATAACTAACGATATGGCTTGGGGATATAAAATATAATTTTTAATTTATTCTATTTTCATTATTTATTTGTTAGTTGGTTTACTACTATCTCCAAGACCCCGACAAGCTAGTCTATCTATATATGCCTTACCCTTTGAGAGGTCAAACGTTACACGGTCAGATTATAAAACCATTTTGAGATTTTTGCTAAGATATACAATTTTAATAAAAGTGACATGATTAGTCAAAGAATCTAAAGCTGTGACCCAGAGTCTTAAACATAACAGTAGTGTATCTTCAAGATGTTTGAAAGAATGGGATCGTCCATAAATTCAGATCCAACATCGCAGGAGACAGACAATGCACACAAACACACTTAACGACTCTGAAAAGTCCAGCTGCATGTGTATGTAATTACGTTAAAGAGTTTCCCAAACTTACTTAATCTCAGCACCATTACTTTTTAAAAATTCTCAATATCTTGAGGAAGTGTTCTAATGAATAGTTGAAAGGAGGCAAATATCTCTAATTTGCTCAACTCTTTGCTCTACTTTTAACTCAATAGTCCCAGAAAATCATTCAATCTCCAGGAGCCTCAGTTTTCTTATGCTGAATCTTTTAAGAATACAATTTTAAACAGTCATATAAATAATGTATTATTAAGACAAAAGACATTAATAATAATGTTTTCATTGGAAAAGTATATGCTACAGATTTCCTTCTTTCCTCTTATACCTCTTAGATCATTTGATTTTACAAATGTCTACTTTAAGTTTCTTCTATTTTTCTTTTTGTCTTTTTTTTTTCGTGACCGGTAACGGGATCGCAACCCTCAGTGTCGTGCCCGTACCGCGACCAGCAACGGGATCGCAACCCTCGGTATCGCGCCCGCACCGCGCTCAACCAGTGAGCGGACCGGTCTCTATATAGGATCCGAACCCTTGGCGGGAGCACCGCCACACTCCCAAGCGCCGCACTCTACCAAGTGCGCCACCGGGCCGGCCCTCTTCTATTTTTCTAAATAGCAAGGCTAACAGCACTTTTCGTAATTGTCTTCGGGTTTCTACTAATTTTCTGATCAGGGTGACTACACAGATCACTTTGCCCAGAACTGTCCCAGTTTATGTTCTTAGCCCAGAATTATTATTAATAAATGTTCTCAAGCATGCCTCAGTTCAGAATGATGTTTACGGTTACCCTATCTTAAACTGTTATCACAAATTCTCTATGTTGCTATATTTGGAATAAACTTTTCATCTAAAAAATCATTGTCCAATGTGATAAAACATAATTTAAAAGGTAGTCTGAGGTTTTATTCCAAAGTTAAAATTTTTTCTAATACATAATAGTCATTAAATATTTGGCTAACCTTAGCCAAACTATACTACCCTTACTTACAGAGAAATAGTCCTACTGTTATAGAATGATCTGTGCACTCCCCCAAACTCATATGTTGAAGTCCTAACCCCCAATGCAACTGTATTTGGAGTTAAGGTTAAATGATACCATAAGGGTGGGTCCCTATTCCAATATAACCGGTATCTTTATAAGAGAAGGAAAAGACACCAGGGAGGAATTGGGCAGAGAAAAAGCATGTGAGGACATAGTGAGATGTGCAAGCCAAAAAGAAAGGCTTTAGGAGAATGTGCAAGCCAAAAAGAAAGGATTTAGGAGAAAAAAACCTGCCAACACCTTGATCTTGGACAGAAGCCTCCAAAAATTTTGAGAAATAAATTTTTTTCTTTTTTTCTTTTTGTCTTTTTTTTTTTCCGTGTCCGGCAACGGATTGCAACCCTCAGTGTCGACCCCGTACCGGACCGGGACCGGCAACGGGACTGCAACCCTCGGTGTTGCTCCTGCGCCTCGCTCAGCCAGTGAGCGGGAACCGGTCTGTATGTCGGATCCGAACCCTCGGGCGGGAGCGCCGCCACGCTTCCCAAGTGGCGCACTATCCAGTGCGCCACCGGGCCGGCCCGAGAAATAAATTTCTATTAAGCCAATCAGTCTGTGGTATGGCAGCCCTAAGACACCAACATTCATGAAGAGACATATTCCAAACAGTCTTCTTACCTGGATATGCATATCTCTCTAACTTGTTGAGGTGTCAAAGCAAAAATAAAAAATTTTTCTTGAAATCGTTGAATACTGCTTTGAACTGGGGAGAAAAAAAAGAAAGATAATATTTCAATAACAAATCCAAGGATATAAGCCCCTGTAATAACCAGACACTTCTGATAAAGTGTCTACCAAGTTCTGAAATTTTTATATTCCAAGATCAAGAAGTACTAAGCTGCATTCATCTTGTAATCATGAGTAAAGTTATTCCAAAGGGATTTCTTTAACTTTAAGCTTTTAGTCATTCTTTATTCTAAAACATTAATTATTTTATGCAGTCAAAATATAACAAAACCCTTCAATATTACATTTCATCCTTGACCCCAGCAGCACCTAATGAAAATCTGCAGAAGTCCAAAACTCTCCCCAAGAGAACTCTTTCCAAGAATTCTTTCTTTCTTTCTTTGCTTTATTATTTAATTACACAGAGCATTCATAAAAATTTTTAAATTTCAAAACTTCTAATAGTTATTAAGAAACATAATAAGTTGCATAAAAGATTCTTTTTTTTTTTGTCCTTTTTGAGACCAGCCGCACCGTGCTCAGCCAGTGAGCGCTGTGAGCGCACCGGTCATCCCTATATAGGATCCGAACCTGCGGCGGGAGTGCCGCTGCGCTCCCAGTGCCGCACTCTCCCAAGCACGCCATGGGCTTGGCCCTGCATACAAGATTACTTCCTTAAAAAAAGATAACCTAGTAAGATCATCCTTTCTAACTATATTATTAAAGACAGATATATCTTTTACTTCACAGAGAACCGTAACAGATTAATTCTAATGAATTATTCAGTGATATTCTAGCATGCACTGAAACAAAACAGGCTAATATAAGGCTGGCCAGTTTGCTCAGTTGGTTAATGTGTGGTGTTATAACACCAAGGTCAAGAGTTTGGATCCCAGTACTGGCCAGGTGCCAAAAGCAAATGAACAAACAAACAAAACAAACAAAAAAATCCAGCTAATATAGAAGCCTCAAGTCTTCTGCTTCCTAACAAGTACTTCAGTACACCCAAGAAAAACAAAATGACTCTTGTGTTATTGCTCAGTTTTCCTGATGTATGAAGATAAACAAGATGCCAGCTGAATATCTAATGTCAGAGGACTTCAACCACAAGTCCTACCACCAAATCAAGAAAAATATTAACTCCCTGGGTCAAAAACAGGCAGTTTATTGCAGCAATTATGCTCCTAGAAATCATGTCATAATGTAATTCTTTTATTTTTATAACATTTATAAAAAGGAGGAAAAAGATGAATGCTGTTTATGATGAAGGCTTAAAAATGAAACAAAACTAGGTTATAAACATAATAATGGGGCATAAAACACAAAAGACATAAGTAATAGCTGTAAGTCTCTCCATTTCTTCAGTTCTATTCTCTCCTCAACATTTTCTTTCTCATATGGATTCAAATTTCCACTCTTTTTCTGTGGCTAAGATCACCAATAGCCTCTTAATTGTCAAATTCAATAACCTATATTTTAAGATTTTAAGTGAACTCACTGAATTTTCAGTCTTAGTTATTGGCATGAGCAGAGTCTCTCCAGCCAAAAGCCTCCAAAGGTCTAACGTATGTACAAATGGAGTTCCAAAAGGAAAAGAGTGAAAACGGGGAATTAAAAAAATACTTGCAGAAATAATGAAAGACTTATCCATAACTTTGAGGGGGGGGGGGGTTATAGATTAAATCCCAAGCAAAATACTACAAAAAAAAAACTACCTCATCACATCATAATCAAACTACTGAAAACCAATGACTATAAAATCTTGAAAGGAACCAGAGAAAAAAGAAACATTACATACAGGGGAACAACAATGTAAGTTTAGGCTGACTTCTCATCATAAGCAAGGTACACCTTAAGACATCTGTAAATTGGTGACAGGAAAAAACAGCCAAACAAAAATTTAATACTATTCATAAACAGAGAAATAATAACTTCCCAGATAAAAGAGAACTTGTTGACAGCAGACATGCATTACTAGAAATGTAAAAAGAAAATTACCAGGATTAAAAAATGCAAATTTAAAACTAGATCTCTGGGAATAAAAATCACCACAAACAGCAAGTAAGTGGTAAAAGTAAAATAATATGCTGTTTTTTTCTTGTGATTTCCTTAAAAAGATAACTGTTAAAAGTAAAAGTAATGGCACGGAAAGGCAGAGTCTATAACATAAGAATAAGTAAAGATCTGACAGCAGTAAAAAGGATGGAGGAGGTGGAAAAATAAAATTATCTGCTCAATAACTGTGTTTCTAGCTTCATTCTGGTAAGTGTGATTAAGATAAATCTCCATAGAGATAGATACCCACCTAAAAATGGTAGGTATTTCTATACCTCCAAAGCTGAGCACAAGACCCATGGGGAATTCACCAGGATAAACAGCAATATTTGAGACCCTGTCTGCATGGCTGGAGCTAACCTACCCAGAAATGTTCCCACAAAACATGAACTGAAGTGCTTCCATAATCAGCATATGCACCATATATATACAATTTATAGAACTTGCAGCTTAATGTTAATAGCTTATATCATAATACACATATTTTTGCTGTTTTCTGACATACTTTTGGCTTTACCTATCATTTATTTGCTGCCAAATTCCAGACTATAATCCCAAACAACTACCTTGTTTCTATGGAATACTGAATGTTTCATCACTATATTCCATAACTGGACTCTAGGAACTTACAGCAAACAAATAATACTGCATATGCTAATAAGATCTAATTTGTATTGATGCTTACTGACAATTTTTAGATAAGTCAATTTTATGATATAATAGAAGCCAAAAGTACACTATTCTTAATGTAAGCTATGTCAATTAGTTAAACTGTCATTTTAATACAGATGACAAGAAAAAATGGCAGGATGTAAAGTGGAAACATGAAGGTTTCTCCCCATTAGTGTCTATAGTTTGGGATCAGAAAACCAACTTTGCACAGAATGCTTTTATGTTAACAACAGCAAATGAAAGTGTGGAGTATAAAGCAAACGTATTTCATAGGACCTAGATGTAATCCTTTGCGTCTCCATCACCCCGTGTGAGGCAAAGCATCATGAAAGGAAAAAGACCAGGACTCAAGAACATAAATTAGATATGGCTTTATTCAAACCCTTTCCTTTTTCAACAATCCTTCATAATGTAGATACTGTTCTCCAAATATTGTTGCTTTGCCTCCCATGGATTTGTTACCCTTTTTCCCCTGGGTGACAGAGCTGCCAAAGATTACTCAAAGCCCATCTCTTCTGAGCAGTGAGAAGCCCCGAAAAGGGGTTAATCTCCCAGAACTCTCAAGATAGAGGCATTCCTTCCATTTGGGAAATTAACCATGAATTGGGGTTCTCTTCTCACATTTATTCTCCAGACCAGGAAGTTATAGGAAGAGAACATAGGTGGTGTTTCTGCTAAGTATAGTTTACCAAGTTTAACAATAAGCATTCCATAATACAATTTTCAAGAAGTTAAGTTGATCCACCAACAAAAGCTTGATCTTAGCAAACATTCTCTTCTTACAGCAATTTACCAGTATTTTTACATATCAATCAGTAACCTGTCTTTGAGCCAGCAACCTTGCTGTGTTACAAATCTTACAAGAGACTATATAGCCTGGGGAAAATTTCCTGTCCTTTGCAAGGTCAATATTTGAAACTGCAAGGCTTTGGAAAACCAGGCCCTGTGAAGTACATTTGCTTTATTCACAAATATGGCCACAATATCTCCCATCATGTCCTTTTTATAATGTAACCTGGACACTCTTCCAATTGAGTAGTGAAAACTTCCCTTTGAAACCAAATGGCCCCCTGTGACTGCTTCAACCAACAGGGTATGGTGTGATACTATACAACTTGCAAGGCTACATCACAGAAGTGCTATGCACATCTTCCTTGCTCTATGAGGACTCAGACTTGGAACCCAGATCTCTCCAAACCAGACCAAATGAAGAAGCCACATATAGGTATTCCAGACAACAGCTGAGTCCAAGACATCAGGTGGCATAGCTGCTAGACATGTCAGTGAAGATACCTCCAAGTGATCCAAGCTTCTAGCCATCAACTCACCCCAGCATTTAAGTCTTCTCAGCTAAGATCCCAGACATCTTTGGATACAGACAAGCCATCCATAGTCTACCCTTCCACATTCCTGACCCAGAGAATCAACAGGCATAATAAAATGACTGTTTACACCTGTAGGTTTTGGAATAGCATATTATACAGCAATAGTAGGTAAAACAATGCTATAATTTCATGAAGTAATTTTAGCATAATTAATTTTATAAATTCCAAATTATAATTAGATTCAGATTCATTTATAATTACTAACTGATGGCATGATATTATAGTTATGACTACTCTAGATTTGTGAATGAATGTTAATTCTCTTCTATCTTTTTATTAGTTTTTAAACTTAACTGTACCAGAGTATAATATTTGTGTATCTTAGCCTTAGCCCTACTGATAACTATCCAAGTTATTCAGAAAATTCAGATAAGATTTCCAACACTTTCTTTACTCCTCAATTAAAATGGGAATAATGCTTTCCTCGTTTGCCTTTTTAAGACTGTTTTGTTGATCAAATGCACTAACATATGTGAAAGCATTCTGAAAACATCGACATTATTCATATGTACTATATTTTCAGTTCTAGAAGTCCTCATCAAAAGTCTGTTTACAAGGGCCGGCCCGCTGGCGCACTGGATAGTGCGCCGCTTGGGAAGCGCGGCGGCGCTCCCGCCCGAGGGTTCGGATCCCACATACGGACCGGTTCCCGCTCACTGGCTGAGCGAGGCGCGGGAGCAACACTGAGGTTTGCGATCCCGTTGCCGGTCCCCGGTCCGGTACGGGGGCAACACTGAGGGTTGCGATCCGTTGCTGGACACGGAAAAAGACAAAAGACAAAAGACAAAAAAAAAAAAAAGTCTGTTAACAAAAATATCAAAATTTCAGAGGACAAAAGTAATACAGTCCAGCAGATTCATTTTGGTAGCTATTTTATAATAATGATTTTGTTTTCATAAAAAGACATTTAGGTAGAAAATTAATA